AACACAATAAAGAAATTATTATTAGAAAAGTACAAAAATACTTCTTCTCATCTAATCATTACTCCATCACTTACTGAACTTCCAATATAAATTTAAATTACTCAAAATTCTATTTTTTACCCTCTGTTGAATACAAACAATATACAAGATGTCATCTTAATTCTTACAGAATTAATTAAACTTGTACTATCAAAGTTTTTACAGTTATTTTAATACAATTTCTTGACAAAACTAATTTCAAACACCAACTCAACCTCAATGCAAATTACTTGGACCTTATCTGCTTTATGGCTGTCAAGCATCCAACCTATATTTCTTCTCTACCTATAATTCCTATTTCTAATTCAATCACTTCTGAAATCTTTATTCCAAGTGAAATTAACAACAAACTTATATCTATTTATCAACTTAACTACTCTTACTAACAACTATCCTTTTATACTTATGACTTAGTAATCAACATTGGTACTGATCAATGTACAATAGGTATTGATTGGATCTAAATTAATAATAATAATTATACTATTAACTCCTTTTCTTCTAAAATACAATTTTGGCCTTTATTATATAAAGCTGAGCTTTTCTCAATTATTATTACAATCTTAACAGCTTCATGCAATTCAGTAGTCAATATTTTTATTGATTCTCAATCAGTAATTTTCAAATTTAATAACCTTTAACTTTATTTAAATCACCTTAATAAGTTATTCAAATTCAACTCATAGCCTATTTGGTACACTTTTTCTAATATTATTAAATTACACAAATTACAAATTATCTTTTACAAAATATAAGCTCATTTAGATAATAATCTTAATAAGCAAGCAGACTCTCTTGTCAAACAACATTTATCATCACTATTTCTTTTATTTAATTACACAAACCTTTATAATTCTTATCATATTCTTCAATGAAAGTAATATTATATAAAACTTTCTACAAGATATTTTATTAAGCAAATATGTAAAGCCTACATATTAGCTATATGAGCATCTTAAAAATGTAATAGTGAATAGTTATACTTTAATCAAGATTTTAACTGAAGATTCACTTGGCTTTATTTTAATTATAATCAAAAACTCTTATATAATATTACTAATTTTAGACTCAATTAACTAAAATCCTTTAAAATCAAAATTCTTCTTAACAAGTTACCAATATACTAACTATTTTATACTATTTACTCAAACAAATATCTAGATACTAATTGTTTTTACTGTAATCTAGCTAATTCTTACTCTCACTGGCATACTTGCACTAATACAGTTTTGTTTAACCAAATTATTCAAACATCTACTAATCAAATTATCTTTAGCAAATTACCTGATTTTAATGCTTATCAAAAAATGATCTAATTCATAAAATCTTTTATCCCCTAGTTTTCAATTTCTTATACATCTTACCTAACATATTTTTTCTAATCTTATTCTCAAAGGACTTATTCCAAAGTCACTCATATTAATAGTTCAAAACTCTGACATATTATACAAAACTGACTTCCAAGTTATTATTGATATTCTTTTCAATATTAATGAACAATCATATAAACAATTATGAAAAACATATTGCATTTATTTCTCTAATTGGAAAAAACAACAAAATAGACCTTAATTTCAACCAATTAACAAACTTTCAATATTATCTAATTTAGCAACTAGGTATATATATTTTTATAAAAACTATACTTATGCTTCTGTGGACTTTCAGATTAACTATATACTTACTCTAACATATATTCTTCTATTGGCCAAACAATTTGCAAAATTAACATTTGGTCTATTCTATGAATCAAATATAGTATATCATTAAATTATATGCTAAACATTCAAATTTAGGTAAGCTTTAAACACTTTAGTAGGTTTAGGTTACAAATAAATTAGTCTAAGCTTTTATTCTTATATGTAATTTTCAATTTATTTGTTTTGTACAAATAGTAGTAGCTGTATAGTTAACAGTTTAATAGTTAGCCCTAACTGCAAGTATTAGCTTCGGTTATAACATATATATATATAACTATTTTAAATTATTAATAAAGATATAAGCAAGGCCTTACTTTAATACTAAAAAAAAAATAAATAAAATTAAATATAAAAAAAATTTATTATTAAGTTTATATATAATTTCAATATAGTACTCTCTATCCTTAAAATTATATAAATATTTTTATTTTTTTTAAATTTTGATAATACTACTAGTTGGTTTTTAGATTCTAAATTTATTATAGTACAATTTATAATTATATTTTATAGTATTAATTATTATATAAGTATTATATTAGTTATTCTAATTTTATTTTATAGATTTTATTTAGCTACTTATCTAGCATTTAAGTCTGTATCTGCTGCATGTTTATATATAATTATTATAATAATTACTTGCAATCAGAGTATATTATTAAACTATTATATAAACAAGAATACCTTTAAACTTAATATAGCATTTTAATAGTAGAAATAAAAAATATTATTATAGTGCTATAGTATTATAGTGCTACTTTATATGTAAACATATAATTAGTATAACATATAAATCAAAACAATCTTTCTTTTTATAAAAAATAAAATTTAAGTATTTTATTTTATTTAATTTATTATACTTTAACTTTTGTATTTAATATGCACTAACTACTATGTTTTTATTCTATAAACTATTAACTATTAGAAGGTTTAATCTTTCTTACTTTTATTAAAAGCACAAAAAATCAGTATTTTATTAAACTTTTTGTTTTTGCTTTTACAGTATATACTTTTTGTTGATACAACTAATATTATTTGTTTTTAGATTCTACTCTTATTTTTTTTAACATTCTACCTTTTTACAATCATACTATTACAGATTTTACTTGATTGAATAAGTATTTAGTTTTATTTGTTTTACTATTTTTAATTATTTTACAATTGTACAATCTGCTCTTTTATTACCTAGATTCTACTACTCTGAAATATCACCTTAATATCTTATTCAATTTGAACACATTTACCTTGTATTGATTATTTTGGTATTGAGAATATAATTATACATATTTTATAATTGTGTGATTAATTATGCATATTTAACTTTTGGGTTTTAATTAGTATTTGTGCAATGTATCATAATACACAAAACATTACAAATTGTTAATTTGTAATAATAATAATCTCTTCTTATATAGAGTTTTTTTAGTTTTTTTTCTTTCTTCTAGTTTTATTAATAAAAATAAAACTTACTACTTATATCAAATTCAAGACTTCAATAAATAATTATTATTACACAGTTAATAGTTATACTATTGTGAATAAGCAGTTAAATATATTTCAATAATTATTTGTACAAATATTATACTAAATTTTTAATATAGTTAAATAATTAAATGATTAATGCCTAATAAATAATAAACAATTAATAAACAGTTAAACAATTAACAGTTAAATAATTAAACAATTATATAATTATTGATGATTAATCATATAATTTATAGTTATATGACAATTAAATAATTAACATAATTTTTTATAATTCTAATTCTTACTAATAATATAAAATAATATAGTAAAAATTGCATTACCAAAGGTTTAAATAGGAAATATTCATAATTGAATTGCAGGTATGCTAGCTAATGTAGAACCTATATATAAGCAACTACTTAAATTAGACACCAAAAGTGTATATGTGACAAGATGTACTTTTTAATATAAGGTAGTTCCTCTGAGGTATTTAGCTGTAAGCTCTTATATTCTACTATATTGAATAAAAAAGCCTAGTCTTAAAGAGAAAATCAATTTGCTAATGTAGTAAATTCAATTATTTTTCTAGTTATATAAAATAAAAGGTTTATATATTGAAAGCTTTGCTAATATTATTACTTAATATATCAAAAAAATCTATAATTAACTATACTTATTGTTATGGATTATAATACAATCAAAATTCAGACTTTCTATTTTACTTCTTAAAATCTACTTATGCTTGATTACTAGAATTTTATCTCTAAGACCAACTTATAATATTAAAAAAAGAACTGAAAATATACAACTCAAAATTTCGTATTTTAATAATTTATCTATCTTATATTATACAAATTTTTATTTTAATCTAACTTCTATTTAATTCATATACTTATTTATATGATTATGACTTTCGCTCATATTTTTTTAACAACTAAAAATATTATACAATTATCTTTACAGAAGTTTTTTCTTAAAATACCACTCACTAAATTCTATTTTCATATGTCAATCATGCATATTAAAGGTTCCAGTAGAATTTTTTGTTACGTGCTTAAGTTTACATCTTATTCCTCTGTTGCACTATATAAAATACTATACTTACTGTACGTACTGTACGTACGTACTGTAACAGGAGCGAATGTTCAATTTCGTAGATTATTCCGATATAGTTACACAATTAATAAATATTTTTTTATACTGTGTTACACTGTTTCTTTTAAAAGCTTGAGTAGCCCAACTTTCAATAAAACGAGAGTAAATTTAACGGATGAATTAATGCTTTCGTTTCGCCTTATGTATATTCTTTGAATCCCTGTGAATCCAACAACTTTTTTTTTTGCAAACTGATTGGCCGATTTACTAAAATTTGAGATGCTAGTCATGTGTAACTATGTCGGAATTATCTACGAATTTGAACGCCTGTTACGTACTATACGCGAAAAAATTAGGTTATCATATAAATGGCACATCACTGATTGTGAGACAATAATCATAAATAAACGGTTTCGCATAAACATTGACACTAGGTCTTTCGTTCGAGCACTCTTATAAATATTCAATATCTGTCACACATATACTTTTGGTTTAACTGCAATAATTTGGGGAATGCATTATGTCTATATATTATTAAAAAATCTTACTTGCTAACTTAGCATTATTTTCTCCAAATATTGCATTATTTCTCTGAAACAAGTTTACCATAAATCTAACTATTGCATAAGGTAAAAACATAGAATGTCTAGTTTTATAATATATTAAGTTTTCTAATAACTAGACCGAATTTCAAAGACAATAATGTCTACGCGTCAAGATGATCAAGTAAATATTCAAGCAAGTGGTCAAGCTCAAGAAAATAATAAAGAAGGTAACGAAGCCCAAGAAAGTAATCAGGCACAAGAAAATAATAAAGGCGGTGACGAAGTCCAAGAAAGTAATCAGGCACAAGAAAAAAATAAAGGAGGTAACGAAGCCCAAGAAAGTAATCAGGCACAAGAAAAAAATAAAGGAGGTAACGAAGCCCAAGAAAGTAATCAGGCACAAGAAAATAATAAAGGAGGTAACGAAGCCCAAAAAAGTAATCAGGAAAATGATGAAATTCGGGAAAATGATGAAGTTCAGCAAAATGATGAAGTCCAGCAAAATGATGAAGTTCAGCAAAATGATGAAGTTCAGCAAAATGATGAAGTTCAAGGTGGTGATGTTCAGAAACTACCTAAATATTTTGAAATGATCGAGAACACTCTGAATCCAGAACAGAAGGATGCCTTAAATAATGTTCGCAGCATAGGGGCAAAAATGATTCTTTTGGAAGCTATTCATGAGCAACGCCTAAAAAATGTATTTTTTTCTTAGAATATGTAATATCATGAACTACATATTCTCAATCTGATTTTCTAACTTTTATTTTTCAAAATAGGCGAATATGATCAACTTACTTGTCGCTATACTCAGTTTGCTTGTTACATTCGCTATAAATATTTCAGTTATCGCTCTTAAAAAAGATGACAATATAAATATCTTGCTTTTAAATGGAATCATCTTCACTATGCAAGTTTTTACTGTAGTAATAACAGTAGCAAGTGAACCATATTTCGCAAACAGAGAATATCTACATTTAGCATCAATTTTCACCCCAATAGTCATAAGCATAGCATTAGCAATAAGTTTAGGGATTGTTTTTAGCTCACCACTTATAACAGCGACTTGGGTACCAGTTGGCGTATTATTTTCTAATATTATTATTCAAAATACTAAATAGTTCGAAACGGAATAATGTTAAAATTCATTTATTCTTTATGCTTTTTATAGTTGACATAAACAATTTTTGCGTGCACGGCTCAATAAAAAGACCGTCCGGCCAACAGTTTTAAATTTATTATTAATAATCGATTTCATGTGAAACAGTGTACCCTCAAGATAAAGTGAATTTTATAAATAAGAAATGCTTGAATAAAGTAGAAAAAATCCAACTTTTATTAAGAAAAATTAAAAAAAACCCCATTCTGTCAGTATATTAAAACGATTCGAATAAGTGGTTGGTGCTCATTTTCACCGATAATCACTTCACTATTTATTCCACCGACAGTTATTTCACTGACAATCATTTCGCCGACAAAGTAACTCTGGTCATTTTCGGTAGAGTCAGATTAGAATTGAAGTTAAGGTTAGTGCAATTTTTTTTAAAAAAACTTGTTGGTAAAATGGGCTGTATAAAAAAAAATAAATAAATAATTGGCAAAAAACCACTAAGATTTACTATGACTTGGCGGTTGCCGAATAATAAATTTATCGGTAGACGGTCGTCGATAAATTCGTTACCTATGAATGGGCTGGTCGAGACTAACAAAGTCCTAAGACTATAGACCATAATTGACCAGAATAAACCTGGATTAAACTGGACCAGATTAGACCGTTAACGTCCCCTAGTATTAACAGTGGTAAAGTTTGTCGGTCCTTGAGAACTGAGTCCTTAATGGTCCGATGGTCTGTTCCGAGACCTAAGTGAGATCACAGTTCTGGGTGTCCTACTTATACATCTTGATACATAATATTCTTGTGTTTAGTTAGAATATTCGCGTACTTGAAGTTGACATCCGCTTGGAGTTATTACTTCAGCTTCAGGCGCTTGAAGTTACAATTTCAAGCGGATGCTAACTTCAAGCACGATTAATGTTGTTAAATAACATGTAAGTTACATGTAATTTACTGATGTAAATTTGATTGTACTTATGTAAATTATTCGTAATAAGCTCAAAATAATTCCTAGAAATGAATTATGAAAACCAGCCTAAATTATTGCTTGTAAGTTATATAAGTGCAAATAACGCTCAGGATAAAATTATAAAATATCAAGTTGATATTAATGCTGGTAGAAATTATATTGTAACTACATAAAGATTATGAAGTTACGCTGCAACATACCATGTAAAGTAAGTTGTCAGGTAAGTTTTAACATCCCTATATACCGTAAAAGTGCATATACAAGACCTGGGTTTGGCGCTTCCACCAATTTTAAAACCTTCGATAGACCCGAGGTCTGTTGTATAAACATTGGTCTGATAATTGGAGGAGGCCTTTATGTGGGGGAAGTCAAAAACTTATTGAATTTATGTAATATATATTATGTTCTAATATCATACCTGGGTATTCTATTTCATATTACAAAAGTTTTTATCTATATTATAGCCTCGGGTCTGATTCATGGTGGATCTTGTATATTCACTTTTACGGTACTATGTAAATCAAACCTATACATTGTAACGAGTAATTTTTTCATGTGTCTCTCACTTCCGTATTTTTCTAATTCATTAAGTTGTCACATACCTTCCACGTCATGGCCATGTTTTAATCTTACCTTTATAATATTAGGCATTCTTATGTCATATTAGTGGCTTAACCCCCCCTAGTCGCGTATACGCGTATACACTTTCGTATAAACTTGATAGAATGAGTTGCCTGTGAGAAAGCGTGTGTGATTCAGGGTTATAACATAGATGTTATATTCTTGGCATAGACCTCATAAGAAATGAGAATGTATTTAATGGTTGCTCTGACCCTTAGCTCAGGAGGGAAGAATGCTCACTGAAATCGTCTCTAATTAAATAATAAATAAACCTACCTATATTCTTTTTATATAATAAATGCCTACTAATCATGTAAGATCCGAAATTCCTTAATTTGTTTCATGCACAGCATCTCTCTTACGTCAACCATCGGAGTTAAACTCGGCATGGTTGTCGGAAGCTCTTCTATTCGATGGTGGCAACGTGTTATCATATAAAATTTAGAATATGAGTCTCAAGATTTTTAATTAGATGTAAAGCCTCAAAATTCCGAATGGATCGATATTAAACCTTAAAGAACAATTATCCAAGTAATGAAGGCCAGTAAAATAAGTTAAAAAAAAAAAAAAATCTATTTTTCATATATATTGTAAAAAAACACTATATTACTTTGTAATGATGGTAATTAAGAATCAATTAGTATCAAGATTTTGGATAGAAAAGAAATGTGCGACCCATGAATCCAGAAAAATTTTCCGAAATTGTCTGATTATTGAAAAAATCATATAGCCATATATAATTTTGATTTACATATTATATCGAACATCCGTGTAATGTCGTGACAATTTGAGACAATTAATTTACTCTTACAGCTCTTCTCATAGATTCTGGGACCAATTAAAATTTTGCTCATTGTCCGAAATTTGAACTTTTAGTCTAGAAATAGAGATGTAATTTACTGAGAGTTAGGTAATTACAGGATGAAACAGAAAAGATTTCGGGTAATGTGCAAGTTTTTAATTTGCCCCAGAATTTATGAAAACAGTTATAACTAAAAAAAAAAAAAAGATTGTTGTGTGGGTAGGATAGGAAAGTTTGTAATAATCAAAAAGTTTGTGATAGTCGAAAAACCTTACGATAGTTAAAGAGCTTAAGATAGTCAAAAGATATACACTGGATTTGAGCTTTGATCAGCTACTGTTGTTTTCATAATTCTTGAGACAACTGAAAATGTTTCCCAATCATCGAGTTGATAATTTACAAAGTTAGAACAAATAAATCATATTTTTATATAAAATCTGTAAAATTTGAAATTACAAAATTTTAGGACATAAAGAAATTTCCGATTAACAAATCGATAAGTTGTTGATTTTGCTGATAATTTATTAATTCCGAATCGAGAACCTATCGATTCGATCATAAAATGGTTCAGCTGTCCCATAGTTTATGAAACGAATAATGAATCTGAACTCTATTTTATGAAACGAATCTGAACTCTACATTGAACATGTATATAATTCATGGTGAACATTGAGCCGTTAAATCTGTATTAGATTCTTTTCTTTTTTTTTTTAGATTTACTTATTCTTTTCGTGTGATACAAACTCAAAAAAAGAAATCCAATTTTGTTTATTTGCAACAGTACACCTAAGAGTAACAACATTATGATCATGGTAAGGCAAAATTTATATATATTAAAGTTTGTGTGAAATTTGTTTACCGTGTTTTACGGAATAAAAATTCCGAGATATAAGAGAATACTAATTATGTCCGGGTATTACACTAAGGGAGGTATGTACAGTACATACTGGCTTTAAAATACTATTGTTAATACTGTAAGCTCAGCTGATTGGGTCTTTTAAATCAACATTACAAAAAAGGAAGTACCGTAAAATAATAATTTATAAGGGCTAAGATTTTGAGTTACCGGCCCTAGTGTTTCACGTAGAGATTGGAATCTTGGTGTGCACTTATTTGTGCGAGTGATACAAATCAAAAAGGGAATTAGCCATCGGAGAACCTTCAGAAGATGTGTACCAGGTTTGCGCGCATATCTCCTGAACTACGAATCAGATTTCATGATTAGGTGTAACGTAACACGGTCAGAAGGTTCGTTCTCCCAAAAATCGCTCATAACCCAAAAAAACAGCATGAGAAACCACTTTTGTGCACTAACAAAAGTTTTCGTTTGACCATTTTATTATATAAACTACTCCTCTTAACGAAGTTTAAGAATTTTGTCTGCGCCACAAATCTGGTACACATTTTCCGAGTACAATCGGAGAACGTGGAGAACGTGAAACATGATTATCTTGTGTCAGTCCGACACATGAGCAAAGCGAAGAAAAACAGGATAAAAAACAAAAAAAGCGAAAATAAAAAAACCGAGTGGTTAAACCTGTCTTGGGCACTAATTATTATGTGTAGGAAGTGATTATTTATTTTTATCGCCTCTAACTTTAAGTCTCAACCCTAAAATTTTAATTTCACGAACTTATTTGAATTTCCTTTTTTATTTGCTTGTGTCACTCGCATAAAGTATTTCCGAAATAATGACCTTCAAGAATGAGTGATCGAATATCGAATTTTTTTAAAATGGTAATATTAAACCAAATGATTTTTTATTCTTACATATGTTTTAAATAAAAATACAGTTAAAAAAATATAAAAAGGAATTATAGAATAAAGAGTGAATATTTGATGTGAAAGTAAAATAGGATATAGTATGGCATTATTATTAAACGTTATCTTTTTGTACATTCATGGCTGTCCACCTCAGTTCAACCAAATATTTAATTAACTGTATTCATATGTTTGCAGTTTTAATTGAAATTATGATGATATTGATTCTTGAGAAAGTGGCGATTTCATTAATGATTTTTAATCGGGCGAGAGAAAATATGATACCAGAACTGGATAACACAATTTACATTTCGTTAGCAATAAGTGTAATATTTCGAGGTTTCAAAAATTTTCAGAAACTAAACATTCATTAATTTACCCCTCTTTTTTTTTCTTCTAAAACCATTGTTAAAAGGATTTTTGCCTCTCGGTCAGGAAGACTATTATACAGGTCTTTTTGACGTTGGTTCAAAGAATGAAATACATTCGTTAATTCTGGAGGGCGTTGAATACCTGAAATAACGATGTCAGGTTTATTAAAAAAGTTGATTATCATATTTTCCATATTTTTCTTACCTTTTTCAGAGTCACTCATTGAATCTTTCTTAGTGTCATACGCTGAATTACCACTGTCTTGTCTAGAAGGACTTTCAGTGCCATACACTGAACTTTCACGTTGCATGTTTCAGGCGGAAGTCATAGACGGAGACATAAAACCTCTGTTCATAAGCATACATACAAGGGTTATATGCAATATTTTTATTTACTGGAATAACACAAAATCACATGTTATAGAAACAATTAATGAACTTAAGTGTGTGTGAAGATAAAGTGCTGATTTCCGTATATGGATAAATGTTTAATCGTCAAAAAAATACGTATAAAGATTGTGTTAAATGGAGAATCTAAATAAATGCACAAAATGTTTAAGATGGGGAATGTCTAATATAGAAAATGTTTATCTGACGATAAATAATTGTGATGAATTCGTCAGGGTGACCACCAAAAGTGTAGATCACGATGATATTTTAAAGAATGCACTATTATTAATAAATGATTAATAATTATTATAAGACCGTATTTTTGGCGTCGTCCTGACTAATTCTTGTGACAAGTAAACTTCCTAATATGACAAATTCCTAATATGAAAAATTCAAAACAGTTTTACATAATTTGATTAGTAAATATGATTGTCTAGAACGCATCTGATATGCACAGTGTCACAGATTTTGGAATTCTAAAAAGCCTTGTACGATTTAGCATACAAACATCCAACTTAGTATATCATTACAAACATACGATAGCATTTATGCTTGTTGGACGGATTAACTTTACGATCCTACGTTACCAATAGCACGTTTAACGTGGTGCGATTTATTATTATAAATAGATAAGGAGTCAAAATTCCTGTTCCTGCTCTGATCCGGAAGTACTTATTGTAGTGAGGAGATTTCCTATGTAGATCACCGTTGTATAACAAATAGAATGACAATGATTATATATTCAATTGTTTTTGTCTGAATTGGAACAGGAGGAACCGTCGATGTTACACGACTGATTCTTCACCCGGTGCGCAACATATAAAAAAATCATTTTACAATATCAGATCATTCCGCTAGTACATGTTATGATTATAATCCCACACCATTTTTATTATAATAAAATGGTGTGGGATTATAATCATAACATGTACTAGCGGAATGTTCTGATATTGTAAAATGATTTTTTTATATGTTGCGCACCGGGTGAAGAATCAGTCGTGTAACATCGACGGTTCCTCTGTGCATCTATGTGCACCCAAATCGGATTAACATTAAAATTCAATCATCGCTTTTTAGGTTGTCTTTTTGTACTTAGGTACTAAGTACTATTTTAGTTAGTAATATGAATCAATAATGTAACTCCTGATGTTGTAAAACAATTAGTATTTCAATTCATGTGGCTTTATTTATATTAAACAAAGGTCACAGTTATGTGATGCCAAAACCATTTACATAATATCTAAGTGCATACGTACATTGAAGACGGAAATACTCTGGTGTCGGGATATCACAAATACTAAACTAACTCTAATACTAACTAAAAACACCACTATAACTAAACATAATAGTGGTAAAGCTACGATTGAGGCGTGGAAAGACTTGATCTGAGTAACTAGGTCAATTAGAGTTCCAGACTATGTCGCAGGCAGGGACCTGCATGGGCCTAAACATTTAAACTTTTGCCGCCCCGCCAAACAAAATTTATTATGTTTTTTGAAAGTTCGGCCCGCTTTTTATTAGATCTTTACCCCATCAGGTCCGTCATTTTGAGGGGATTTTGAAATTTTGAAATTTTGGCCCGGCCCGTGCAGACCTCTAGTCACAGGTGTCTTAATACATAATCATGGACTTATCACTAATCCCTATCGTTATTACAGATTTTACTTATCGGGGAGGATTTTATATAACAGACAATTTACAATGTTCAACTTCAACTGTGCTTTTCCAAGTCGCTTATCCTTTATTGTGAAGCAAAAATGTATCGTCTTTATAACTTTTACATTGCTGCTACTTACATCAAACTTATTTGATAAATCTACTTAATTCACTTAATTCGATAAGTTGCTAAATTCACTTAGATAAATCAAATAAATCATCTAAGTCTGATAAGTCAAACTAGTCAGACTTTCGAGACTTCTATGACTTTCGTGACTTGGTGAGTTTCTTGATCTTACTATCTTTGGTTAGGGTCGATCCGCCTCAGCATCAATTTGCCTATACGTTATTTTGTCCGACCCATCATTTAAAGAAAAATTCATTTAAAGCCATAATTTACCCTTTCACAACGTACATATTTACAATTTTAGATACGGTTCTGTATAAATAATATTGTTAATAAAATAAGTAATAATTAATTTAGAGTAGGCGTTGCCTATATTAAACTTATTATACGTATTAACTAAATTAGTTTAAAAGACAGTCCGCAGTTAAAGGGTATAAAAATAAAAGTCCCAGCGTTACCAACAATCGAGAGCGCAGTCAGATGATTTTCCGACAAATCACAACCAAAATGACGAATTTTACGATTGCAAGATTAAGCAGTACAATGTACTTCTACCATAAAGTAGATAGTGCTTCAACTCTTAATAGATCTGCCTTTTATAGCTATAGTTGTTGGTAGAATTACTGAATTACGGCATTACGGCATTTTACTACTTGGTAGAATTAATTACGGCATAGTATCTAATTGCCGTAAAACTTTTGTGCCGCAATGCCGCAATGCCGTAATGCCGCAATGCCGCAATGCCGCAATGCCATAATATCCTAATTAGAGATTGAATTTGTATAAATTTAAATGTGTTGGATTATAATTCATGTCATTTCTAATT